CTGCCCCCTCCTCGGCGCTGCTGAGGGGCTTCGCGGCGTCGGGCGCCCTCCTCCGCCCGAGCGCCGCCGTGCGCCGCCTCCCCTCCCGCCGCTACGCCTCCATCGCCGGTACCCCCCCCCCCCAAATCTCTGCTCCACTACACGCACCTATTTTTTTATTCTGATTTACGTCTGCTGTTGGCGCGCGAGCAGAGGTGAAGGAGCCGCTGGAGGACGTGCTGCGCAAGGCCCAGTACCGCCAGGTCACCGACGCCCTGGAGCGCGATGGTAGCCGCGTGCGCGTCTCCCTCGCCGAATACCTCGACCTCTGCAAGCAGTACGCCCCCCCCCAAGCCCCCATTTTCTTGTAGCGGGAGGGGGGGGGACGCGCACCGTTGATGATGGGCGGATGCTGGTGGCTGGTGGCTGGTGGCTGGTGGCTGGCTGATGGACGGGTGGTTGGCTGGGCTGGGCAACGCTTCCAGGTACAACGTGGAGGAGGCGGAGGCGCGTGAGCTGCTCAAGTCGCTGCACAAGAGCGGGCGCGTGCTGCACTACGAGAACTCGCCGGAGCTGGCCGCCACGGTGATCGTGCGGCCCGACGCCCTCGCCGCGTCGTTCGTGAAGCTGCTCGACGTGCAGGGCGAGTACACCAAGGGCTTCGTGCAGGCCAAGCAGCAGGAGCTCGACGCCCTCCGCCAGGAGCTCCAGGAGCTCGAGGTCACCCGCCAGGGCCTCGAGACCAAGGCCTACCAGCGCGCCGACAACTGGATCCGCCTCGGCCTCGCCTACATCGTCCTCCAGGTGCGCCACACGCCACACGCCACACACGTGCACACGCCACACAGAGGAGCGTGGGGGGGTATGGGGGGGTAGCCAAGCTAACGTGTGCGTGTGCGATTCCAGGCCGGGTTGGTGGCGCGGTTGACGTGGTGGGAGCTGTCGTGGGACATCATGGAGCCCGTCACCTACATGCTTACCTTCACCACGGGCATTGGCGGTAAAGACCCCCCTTTTATTTTATTTTATTTCTAACTAGCGATCAATCTCTACTACCTATTTGTATTTCTGAAATCCTCCATTCTTATTGGTGTGGGGTCGGGGCAGCCATGGCGTACTTCACCCACACGGGTACGGAGTACACGTACGAGGCCCTCAGGCGGCACCTGGCCGAGGGCAGGCTCAAGAAGCTCTACCGCAAGCACAACTTCGACATCAACCGCTACCAGGAGCTCCAGGTACGCACCCCACCCCCGCGTCGGTGGGCACGAAACGGAAACACACGAGATCCTCTCTCACACCCTTCTCCTGCGCTCGCAGAGGGCGGTGGTGCAAACCGAGGTGGAGCTGGCGGCTCCCGAGGTGCACCTCCTCAAGTTCCAGACCCTCGCCCTGCAGTAGAAGCCCTCCCAAATGTTTTGCGCGATGTACCCCCCCCTTGCTCGGCTGGCCGCTTGGTCAGGCGTGGTGGTGGCGGGTAATGGGGTTGGACAACGTCGGGTCCGGTAGATTATAATCTGTACACAAGCATACACAATAGCGCCACACACAACTCTTGCTGGCCGGCACCACGCGCTGCGTCCACTTCTCGCTCTCTCCTCTATCCGCTCTCTCCTCTCTTCACCTCCTCCGTTGCGTACTACCGCGCTCGAGCTGTCCACCCCACGTATGACGAACGTCATCGACACACGATGTGACGATGCGTGCCTGCCTCCTCGTGCCGAGAAGGAGGCGGTGGCGCGCTGGTCCACCACCGCCCAAAATCCGATCGGCCACCTGGGCTCCGCTTAGCTCGCCGAGAGCAGCCCGAACGTGTCCGTGCTCGAGGCGGACCCCGTCGACGCCGAGTCCGGTTCGGACGACGACAGGTTGAAGTCGTCCGACGAAGCCGACGAGGCCATCTGCTCGCCAGCCGACATCCCGAGGATCCTGCCCACATGCGCACACCCCGAGGGGTCAATATAACAATGACAACCCCGCCCACGCACCATGCACGCACGCACGCACGCACGCACGCGCACAGAGAGGGGGAGGAGGAGGGGAGGTAATGGGGGGGGGGGCGACTAACCTGGAGGACCACACGTGAGGCAGGCCCTCGTCCCCGAACGAAGACAGACCGTCGGCCGACTGTCCCTGCACCACCATTGCGCGCGGGGGGGGGCAAGGCGTGAGACGCGGTACACATGTTGGGGGGGGGGATGGGAAAGAGGCGGCACCCGGAGGTCACGTACCCCGAGGAGTGCGTCGCCCTCGTGCGTGCCGGCTCCGTGCCCGAAGCTGTCGGGCTGCTGCTGGCTACCGCCGCCGCCGCCGCCGCCCATGGGATCCATGTGGTGGGCCTGCCCCATGCCTGAGTCCGGGTCATCGTGGAGCTGCTGCTGCGGCTGCTGTTGGAAGTCGACACTTCGCCGGTGCTGCTGCTGTTGCTGCTGCTGCTGCTGCTGGGCGTGGAACTCGGCTTGGTCGGGGTGCAGCGACGTGCGTCGTTCCACGCCGGCCGGTGGAGGCATCGACGACGCGTCGTGCTGCTGCTGCAGGTGCCCGCCGTGCAGGTGGAGGTGGTGGTTCATGGACGACTGGTGGGCGCCCACGGAGGAGCTGTCCATGTGCGGGGCGCTGTGCTGCGCGGTGCTGCCATCGAGTTGCATGGAATATCGCGGACGCATGAGGGCCACCTGCTGCTTGAACTCGGCCTCCTGCACACCGCCGGTCGTTGGTTGGTTGGTTGGGGGTGGGGGGTGGGTATACACATCCATAATATATATATATATATATATAGAGAGAGAGGGGGGGCGTACCATGTTGATGTTGGGAGCGCTCATGCGGCGGCCCTGCATGGCGTTGGGCACCACCGGGGAGAGGGGCGCGGCGAACGTGGGCTGGGCGGCGTGCCGGGTGATCTGGGAGAACGACGAAAAGGTGCCGTCGTCGCTCGACGGCAGCGAGGGCGGGGCCAGCTGCTGCGCCGAGGGCGGCGAGTAGAGGGTGTTGTGTGGGTGGTCCTGCAGCTGCTGCTGAGGCGCGACGTGCTGCTGTTGCTCCTGCTGCTGCTGCTGCTGCGGGTACTGGTGCTGATGATGTTGTTGTTGCTGGTGCTGATGTTGTTGATGTTGCTGGTGGTGTTGGTGTTGATGTTGGTGAGAGGTGTGGAGTGGGTGGTGGCGGAGGGCCTGCTGTGCGAGGAGGGAGTGGCTGACGGGGAAGGCCGGCAGGGACGAGCGCCGGCCGTAGTTCATGGCCTGCACCACCGAGGGCGGCAGGTTGGCGGCCCCGTGCGCGCGATGCATGGTGCCGGCGTTGCCCCCCTCCCCGCTGCCCCCGCTGTACGGAGCCGCGAAGCCGCCTGCCATCGGTGGGGCCGCCCACGCCTGGTCAGTCCCAGAGCAGCAGCAGCAGCAGCACGGAAGAACTGAAGAGGAGGGATTGGTGGTGGGAGGGGGCGGTACCGGACGAGAAGGCGTCGAGGTCGTCCCGGTGGTGGTGGTGGTGGTGGTGGAAGTTCATGACGTCGCTGGAGAAGAGATCGTCTGCGGAAGAGAGGCGGGCGTCGCCCAGCTTCATGCGCTTCCTGCGGTGCTTGGCGTTGGCCTGCTGCTCGATGGCCTCGTTACTGTTTTTGTTGAGGTGTGTGTGTGTGATGTGTGTGTGTGTGGGCGAACGACCGAGATAGGAAAGAGAGTGAGGGGGAGAAGACGGGGTGAGCTGCGGCGGTGCCGTGGGGGGGGGGGTGCACGTACATGGCGTGTAGCTCGTCGAGGGTCTTGTGCGGGAGGAACTTCTCCTGCACCAGCTGCAGTCGCTTTTGCACCTGCACGAGCACGACAGCAGAAGGCGACGAGGAGGAGGAAGAAGTGGATCTACCGGTGAGACCACCACTCCAGACCGGCGACGGCGACTGAGCCGATGCCACCGTGTGGGCCACGGCCGAGGGGGGGGGTCGTACGTTGGTTTCGCTGTCAAAGGCCTGTACCCCGTTGACGAAGGTGTCGTACTCGTCCTCCACCCAGTCGGTGAGGAGGGCCAGCACGGCGCCCTTGTAGAGCTCCGGCGACGGCTCGCTGTGCCTCTGCAGCAGCAGCAGCAGCAGCAGCGAAGAGAGAGAGAGCGCGCGCGCGCGCGCGAGAGAGAGAGCGAGCGATGTCAGACACGGAGCAGGCGGGGTAGTGGCCCCCGAGAGGCGCCAAATCCTTCCTCCTTTCTCTGCGGGGGGGGGGGGTGGTGGTGGTGGTGTGCCTTGTGGTGGTGGTTGCCTTCGCCGCCGGGGCTGGAGGTCTTGGCTTTGGCCTCGCCTTCCTTGTCTCCGTCCTCGTCCAACCCGTCCTCGTCTGGCGCGTCCGCGCAAAAAAGAAAAGAAAAACGCCGCCGCCGAATGAAAGTGGGTGAGGGGGTGCGCTACGGCCCATTTTGGTGGTTCGCTCGAGCAGGCGAATGGGAAAGGGGAGAAGAGGGCGTGGTGGGTGGGGTGGGGTGGGGCGAGGCGGGGCGGGGAGGAGGTACCGTCGCCCTTGGACGATCCGCCGTCCTTGTCCTTGGAGGACTCCTTCTCCTCCTTGCGCTTCTTCTCTCGGTCGATGCGGAGGTAGTACTTCTGCGCGTGGGTGCGCACCTGCGTGGCATTCCGCGTGCCCACGTGCAGCGCGATCGACTTGACGTCCTTGGGGCCGTACTTTTCCACGCCCTCCAGGAATCGCTGATGCTCCTCCGGGGTCCAATACCTGCTCTGTGCCTGTTGTGCGCACAACACGACACGCAGCACACAACACACCACACCACACCCAACGAACGCGTGTGGGAGGAGGAGACGGAATGGCACGCGTCAGCTCACCAACGAAGGCGATGCCAAGGCGATGGCAAGGCAAGGCAAGGCGGCAGAGAGGCGGCCGGGAGTAGTACCTTTTTCTGGGCTCCCTTGGCCTTTTCCTGCTCGTACAGCCGCACTTTGCCGTTGAGTCGCTCGATCTGGCGGGGGAGCGTTGGGTCAGGAAAAAAACAGAGGGAAACGACAAAACGAGTGGGTAATTGTTTTTTAATTTGATCAAATGAAAATGAAAAAAAAGGAAAAGCGGGAAATGATGAACGAAAGAGCGCGAGCGGAAAAGAGAGAAAAGGGACAACGGGGGGGGGGGTGCACAAACCTCGGCGCGGGAGCGGCTGAGCTCTTCTTCGAGCTGCGCGATGCGGTGCTGCTGCTCGATGAGCATGTTGTGCCTAATCTGCAGCTCCAGCTCGAGGTCGGCGTGGGGCAGGGTGGACCTCCTCGCGTCGCCGCCCCCGGCATCACCTCCGGCGGCGGAAAGAGGAGCGTGCTGTGCAACGGTCCCCACCACCACTCCGCCGCTGTGGGCCGGCGAGATGCCTCCCAGCCCACCACTCAGGGGCGCTCCCTGCTGCTGCTGCTGCTGCTGGAGCTGCTGGTGGTGCTGGTGCTGTTGGTACACGGGGAGGGCCGGGGCCGAGGCGCGTCCGTGGGGGTAGGCGTGGTGGGCTGCCGCTGCCGGCTGGTGGTGCACCAGGCCGTTGAAGGGGGTCTGCTGGTGGTGGTGGTGCTGAAGGTGGCCGGTTGTCCCCATGGCATCGAGATGCGCGTGCTGCTGAGGATGATGCGATTGCTGTGGATGGTGATTCATCTGCTGGTGCTGCTGGTGTGGCAATTCCATTTTAACGCTGCCGCCACCCGCGGTCTGATGGTGGTGATGCATCGCATGGTGATTCGACGGCGGCCATCCGATTTGCTCACCGCCACCGAATGAGTGCCGATGACTCAGCGCCGATGCAGTCGAAGAGTTTTGCGGGGTGAACATGGTGGCCCGCGCTTCGTTGATTATTGGAAGATGATGAAGATGAAAGATGAATGAAGAAGAAAATCGAGGCAAGGGAAAGGGGTGGGCGTCTTCGATTCAACCAGGGACGGGACACGCAACGGGCACTTGAGAAGTCGGTTGAGAAGGAAAAAGAAGAGACAAGACAGAATTGCCGCAGCACGGTCACCCTCATTGGCGCCGCGCTTGGCGTTGCGTCATCACGGAGCGATTCCAACGGAAACTGCCCCTCTGTGCAGGCTGATGCAGCCGCCGTTGCCCCACTGCCGTTATGGTTCGCTACTTTACGTCGTGGGATGGCGGCTTGTCGTCAGCCTCTCCACCATCTTCTCCGCCATGTCGCTCCACTGCCCCCCCCCCCAATGCGCGCGCTGGGTGGTTGAGCGTCTTGTCTAAAGAAGAAGCGAAGAGGGACCTTGGCGCAAGGGGCTTGTCGACGTACCCTGTCGGCCGCCTCCTGGATGACGGTAACTTCGGCGGAAAGAGCCCTAATCGCGATAGCGGCATCCTGTCCCTTTTTGTCAATAGAGACGACAGCACAAGGGACTTGGAGGCTGAGGGGCTTGTACCTGGGGCGGGGCGTCTGAGGCACGACGGCCGGTGCACGCCCGCAGCTCGTCCTGGGCAGCATCGAGGGCCAAGAGCGAATGCATCAGCATTCCTGCTGTCCCGCCAGGGGGGTGCTCGAGTGGAGTGGTGAAGGGCAGCGAGTAGAGCTCACACGGCCAGTAGACCACGAAACGCAGCGAATCGAGCATACTGCGATCCAGGGCTAAGACCCCGCTATCCACGAGAGCAGCGTAGCCTGGCCTAAAGGGTCGTCCTTTCTGTCAGGAAGCCTTCTACTTCAGGACGTGGAGCCAAAGGGTGAGGCGCACCGTTCTTCGGGGGTTGCGAGTAGAGGCTCCTGGATGAGCTCTTGGGCGAGCGATTGCCACCCCTGCAATTGCCAGCACCGCGGTCAGATTCCCTGTACCCAGGTCAGGAAGGCAAGTGCTCACCAGTCGGTCGCAAGAAGGTCTCTGCAAGGCGTCCATGCTCTGCTCTCTGCTCTGCTCTCTGCTCTTGGCCGAATGTGGGAGCAGCGCGCGCGCGTAGAGGCACAGAGAGGCTTGCCGGCGCTGCTGTTGAGGAAGTAGGGCGTAGGGGCTGAAACGGCGCGGCACGTGGGTGGTCCCAAGGCTCGGTTGCGGTTGGTGAGAGGTTCCGGTGCACAGGCCTAATTTTGACGCGTTGACTTTCTGCTCCGCTCCTTCCTTTTCAAATCCCCGCGCGAAGCCAGGAGCACCGCCGAAGACACAAACCGCTCGTTCCCACAACCCGCACACACGCCACGAGGCTGGCGACGCACACCCGCCGAAATCAAGATCAATTTCGCCCTCTGCCGTGAACAGCCCCCACCCCATTGAAAGAACCCATTGCTAGAGCTGCATAATGTACACGCCTGGTGGCCATCGCACGTCGCTCCTCAGCGGGAGGGTGACCGAGCTGCTGGAAAGTCTCAAGGCCGAGTTTGAGACCATTGCACACGATGCAAACCTCTTCAAAATGCAGAGAGACGACTACGAAAGAAAATGTACTTGATACATCGATTCCGCCCCCCCCCACAAATTGGCAAACTGTGATCATCATGACACTCTCTAAATTTGCAGTGCAAGCGCAACTGGGGGAGCTCGGTAATCTGCAACAGACACTCTACGATCTCGAGAGAAATCATACCAAGGTCAAGCAAACGTACGTTAGGCTCACCGGCAATCGGCACAAAAAGATTTCTCATTCATCAAAACCGACATTCACAGATTGGAGGAAGAGGTGTTGAGGTGGAGGCGGCAATCAGAGGCGTTGGCAAGCGGCACCGCAGCAGCAAGCACTCACAACCCTTCGGCAACGAATGGAACCTTCGGAACCCCGCCTCCTCCCGTTAGAGTGGAGACCAGTATGTTGCTCGCTCCCCGCCTTCATTTTCCTCGCATCTTATTGGGATCCAATCTTGGCACACCAATCTAGATCCCATCGCACCGAACTTTGGCGGACTGCCGAGCGGCTCCATGTTCCCGCCCTACGGCCTCAGCCCAATTGATAACGTCAACAAGCGCGCGTTTTCATCCACTTCCACTACTCCCTCTCCCACCACTGCCATTCCACCAGCCAAGAGGCCGCGTCCAGAGCCGTTTTACAGTGAGGCACCGCCGGTGACGGGAGGTAGGCGCGCGCGCACACGCACACACGCACCCGCACGGCGTTGCATTTCCTTGCTTTGCCAGTGGTGCTTGCATGACACTCGGACTCAGCTCCTTTATTGCGTGGGCCTTGCCAACTGCGTGATAGGGAATATTCCACCTAAGCTCAGTCCGATTGGAGACATGCCCACGCGAGTGAAGACGGAGAAAAAGGACACAGACGCGCTGCCGATCGCCCCCATCAGGGATCTCCCGGAAAACGGTGAGCTCACCCCGCACACCAACACACACACACCACACACCAACACACACACCACACACATCACACACACTGGCGCCGCTGTGCTGGCCCACACCAGTACGCACATACACACGCACACTCACTTCTGGCGTGCTGCTGCTGCTGCTGCTGCTGTGTGGTCCTCCAGGAGACAAGGAGAGTTCCAGCAAGAGGGAGTCCAGCCACAGCCGCACACCACCCAACGAGAGAGCGCACTCCGTCTCGCCCACGATGGAAAAGGGCGGCCGTGGCGAAGACCGGCCAGAGTACGCCTCCATCTCCTCCTCGTCTAGCTCTGGTGGCGTTTTGCTTTCTGGTTTGTTTGTTTGTTTGTTTGTTTGCGGAGAGTGTCCAATGGGACGACAGCCTAACGGGAACCTGGTCCACTGGCACTGTGCGCCCAGGTCTTCCACCGACATAGCCAAGAAGGTCATGGACGAACAAAATTGCATCCGAAAAGATGACTGGATTGTGGGATACAACCCGAGCGTCCCCAAGACCATCGCCATCGACCTGAAGCACACCGAAGAACACTCGAGCGTTGTCTGCTGCGTGCGATTCAACCACGATGGCAACTATATGGCCACGGGGTGCAACAGGAGCGCGCAAATCTACGATGTTGAGACGGGCGTCAAAGTGAGGTATGTTCCACCGCTCGCGGTGCTGTCGCCTTCCCAGGCTGTGTGTGTCGTGTGGCTTACAGCCCTCCTCTCTGCAGCACGTTCACCGACGAGAACGCCAAGGACGGGGACCTCTACATCAGGTCGGTGTGCTTCAGCCCCGACGGCAAATACTTGGCGGCAGGCGCCGAAGACAAAACGGTCAAGGTGTGGGACATCGAAAAGAAGACCATCAAGTACACCTTCGTCGGCCACGAATTGGACATCTATTCGCTCGACTTCTCGAGCGATGGCCGCTTCATCGTCTCGGGCAGCGGCGACAAAAAGGCCAAGGTGTGGAGCATGGAATCGGGCAAGGTACTGCTACTACTACCACTTGCACTTCCCCACCCACCACCCGCTCCACGCTTCAACCCCTGCTGACGGTTGGTTGGGTCCCTCCCCCCCGCGCGGGTAGTGTCTGTTCACCCTGGGCAATGATGATGTGGGACCCAAGGACGGCGTCACGTCTGTCGCTATCAGTCCCGATGGCCGACTCGTCGCTGCGGTACGATTGCTCCGCCGCGATTTGTGATTCACCCGCGTCGTTTTCTCTCCACCACGCATCTGATGTTCCCCCGTCCGTCCGTCCCAACAAACACCACCGCCGCCGCCGCCGCCGCCGCCGCCACCGCCACCGCCACCACCCACTGTGCAGGGATCCCTCGATCGAATTGTCAGGCTGTGGGACGCGGAGACAGGCTACTTCCTCGAGCGCTACGAGGGCCACCTCGACTCCGTGTACTCGGTTGCCTTCTCTCCAGACGCCAAGTCGCTCGCCTCTGGCTCGCTGGACAAGACCCTCAAGCTGTGGGACATTTGTAACCCGCGCGCAAGGTCGCGGTGCCGATCCACCTTCAATGGCCACAAGGTAAAAACCCGTTCCAGCACACTCTGTACAGAGCTGAGCCAGCTTGTGCACACCCGGGTGGCCACTAACCACGGCGGGGTTCCGGTTGGCGCGCGCGCGGAACAGGACTTTGTGCTCTCGGTGGCCTTCTCGCCGGACGGAAACTGGCTGATCTCGGGATCGAAGGACCGCTCCGTCCAGTTTTGGGACCCTCGCTCGGCCGCCACGCACCTCATGCTGCAGGGGCACAAGAACTCGGTCATCAGCGTTGCCGTCAGCCCGAGCGGCAAGGCCTTCGCCACCGGCAGTGGCGACTGCCGTGCGCGACTTTGGTCCTTCAACGCCATCTAGATCATCTGCTGGGGTGGTCCTCCTCCCCTAGGGCGAGGCTTCAACTCTGGTTCCCACCGCCGTGGCTTCCGCTGCCCCCCCTTCTTTTTGTCTTTGTCCTCTTCGCGATTACAACCCCCCCCACCGTGCACATACCACACCGTGTCACCTACACTCGGCCGAGTGAATGGGGGGGGGCAAAAAAGAGAAAGGTGCAGCCGTAAAATTATTTATTTTCTGCCCAGTTGGAACCGCCACAACAAGTTGTTGCTGTTGCTGCTACGTCAATGGCCCTCTTCAAATCCACTCCTCTCTTCTGCGTGCTTGTGTGCGTGGGCCTGCTGGCTTGTCTCGCGTGGTCCACGCACGCTGCCGGCGACCTGTCCCATGGATTTGGAGACAGCATCGCGTGGGTCTCCTACCGTGACGCCCTCGAGCAGGCCAAGCAGCTCAACAAGCCCGTCTTCCTGCTCCTCCACAAGAGCTGGTGTGGCGCTTGCAAGAGGTGAAGCCCTCCTGCGTGCTGCCCTGCCGGTCCCAAAGATGTCCACTCACCTTCCCACATTCACATGCCAGGCTGAAGCAGGATTTTGCGGCCTCCAAGGAGATTGCGGAGGAAAGCAAGAAGTTTGTCATGGTCAATGCAGAGGACGAAGAAGAGCCGCACGCCGACGCCACCTACAATGTCGATGGAGGCTACATTCCTCGCCTGTTCTTCCTCACCCCCGACGGTCAGCTCACCGGCGTCTATAACGAAGCTGGCAACGCGGCCTACAAGTACTACTACTTCACTCCCGACCAGATCCTGGCCGCCATGTCGCGCGCCCTCGCCGCGGTCGGCAGCCCGCTCAACAAGGAGCTGTAGGAGGAGGCCTTTTTTTGCCCCTCTTTTCTTCCCCTTTCTCTTGGCCACAAGAATTGATAAAATAGAAAATAGAGAGAGCAGCAAAAAGAAGAGCAGTGCTTCCTCATTCCTGGCGTTGTGAGGCCACCGCTTGACACGCATGTGGATCTTGCCTCGGCCCACCTCCGTGGCCTTCTCCGCCCTGTGGGTTGTGGTGGAGGAAAACGAGTACTTCAGCCTCCTCGAAAACAAGACCTCGAGCAAGGCCATCATTGGCACCGTCGCCAGCCTCTTTCGCAGGTATCCCCCCCCAAACCACCACCACCCCCCCCACGGGGGCCGAGTGGGTAGCCTCACGCGGCGTGGCTGGCAGGGTGGGAAATGCAGCTCGAGACGGGCTGGCGGGTGCGGCAGTATCCGAACCCTTGCGCTACCGCATCGTGCTACGGGACGACGAACACCACGCCCTCGCCCTTGCCGGTACGCCCCTCCCCCGCCTCGGTTCTATTCAGCAGCCCCCCCCCCCGAGCATGTTCGTGGGTGGCTTTCCCTCCCGTTTTCTGTTCTTCTTCTTCTTCTTCTTCGCGCCTTTTCTGGGCGGCGTGTGCTCATCCGCAGTGCGTTCCGCGTGGTGTCTCACTTTGGTGTCTGATCAGACGAGTGGGACGAGATAGAGCGGGACTGGGAATGGATCAAGGTCATGCTGCTGCCCCGCCTCGTGGGCCTTGAGATGGGCCACGCCGACAAGCTGCGCTACATTCTCGTGCGTGCCACCCAGCCCTGCCTCCGCCATTGGCGCGCGCTCTTTTTTCGCGGGCCACACGCCACCCCGTTGTTCTTGTTCTTGTTGTTGCTGCTGCTGCTGAACAACAACAACAACAACAACAACAACAACAACAACAACAACAACAACAACAACAACAACAACAGGACAAGTTCACGGCGCGCTGCAACGAAGTTGGCGAGGAAGAACTCAAGCGCCAGAGCGACAGCCGCCACTACCAGAAAAAATTTGGGCTCGCCCAGGAGGAGCTCGTCGCCAGTGCGCCCCTTCCCTCCCTTCCTCCTCTCACTCCCCCCGACGGGCACGTTCTGTCGCTCTCGCGGCGCACAGACCCACCTCTGTTTCCGGCGTATCTCTGACCTTCTTCCCTCCGTCCCGCGTGCGCACCGATATCTATCTAATCGATCTATCTAATCGATCTATCTATCTTGTGTGCGCCACACATATCCAGCCTATTTCTGCTCGCTCTGGCAGGAGGGGTTCGTGGGCACCCATCGCACAGTACGCGCCGACCCTTCCCTCCTTCGCGCCTCTCGCGAATGCAGCGTGTCCAACGGTTGTTGCGGTGTCCGATGTGCACGGGCGGCGGACGTGCGTGCGTGCGTGCGTGCGTGCAGGGCACGATGTGGGTGTCGGCCAACTACATCTGCTTCGACTCGCGTCTCATGCGGCAAAAGTTCGTGATCGCGTTCCGGGACGTGGTCAAGATCACCAAGGGCACCTCCCATTTTGGGGTCCTCGACTCCTCCCTCTCCATCCACACCAAGCAAGGCGAGGAGGTAATCCTCACTCCCCTCCCTCCCCCCCTAATCGGGGCCGGACCGCCGGCTTCGAATCTCACCGTTGTGCGTCTGTCGTGTGTGTGTCGTGTGCGTGTCCTGTGCGTATCGTGTGCGTGTTGCACTGCCAGTACTTCTTCTCGACGCTGTTCAACCGGGAGGAGGTGATGACCCTGCTGGAGCACCTGTGGAGCAGCGCCCTCGACCGGCTGCTGTCCTCGTCGTCGAGCGCTACCGCCTTCAGCTCCCCGCAGGCCCAGCCCGCCCCCGACATTTTCGTACCCTTCGTCTTCCCTCCCGACACGCCCTCCTCTTCCGCTTCCTCGTCCACGACGCCCGCCGCCATCGCCACCACCACGACCACCAGCACCGCCACCGCCACCACCAGCACCAGCAGCGGCTCCTCCTCGCCCGCCGCCTCCACGGGCGCCTCTCCTTCGCCAGGCGGCGGTGGCGGCGCGCAGCAGCCCATGGGGCGCAGCGGGGACCTGCTGCAGCTGCTGCTCGATAACCCCGATCCGGGCAAGTCGCCCGGGTCTCCGCCTCTCTTCTCTCCGCCCTTTGCTCGGCGCAGCCTGGCGAGCAAGGGAGAGCTCACGCGGCGGAGAAACGCGCAGGGCATCCTCTCCCTCTTCCGCTTCCCCGCCCACGAGGCCCCCATCGAAGGTGTGTGAGCCTCCCCTCCTCCTCCCTCCCTCCCTCCTCCCCAATGCCGCTTCTCCCACCGCCAGCCACCACCACCACCGGCCACCGCCGCCGCCGCCAGCCACCAGCCACCACCAGCCACCACCACGACAACGACCACCATCAGCCGCCGCCACCATCAGCCACCGCCACCGCCGCCGCCGCCAGCCACCGCCGCCGCCGCCAGCCGCCAGCCACCGCCGCGGGTTACGGCGCGAGAGGCCTTACGCTGAGTGCGGCTATATATATATATATATATATTAATTTTTATCTGTATCTCTGTATACAGAGCATGGGTGCAGCCTTTTGTGGGACGGGACCTACCTGAAGGGCCAGTGCTACGTCTCCCGCTCCTTCCTCTACTTCCGGTACGTACGGTACCCGCAGCAGGCGCATAGCATAGCATAGCAGAGAGAGAGAGAGAGAGAGAGAGAGAGAGAGAGAGCCGCGGTGGGGGTGGGGCTGATCGTTGTGCACTCGCCATCGGTGGCAGGTCTACGAAGGGGAGCGAGGTGCGGCTGACGCTGCCGTGGGCGAGCATCGACGGGATCGCCAAGGACAACCCCTACAAGTCGGCCATCAGCGTCATCGCACACGACAAGCTCTGGGAGCGCCTCGCCCTCCCCTCCACCCCTCGGCAGGTTGCCCTCCCCCTCCCACTCCTCCGCCTCCGCCTCCGCCTCCATTCGCCCATCCTCGTCCATGGGCGGCGGCGCACCAGGAAAGACCCGGACGTGATGAGCTCACCCCATCTTTTCGCCTTTCCGCCGCTCCTGCGTGGCTGGTGGCTGGTGGTGTGTTGGGTGGTTGTTTGCGTGGTGGTGGCTGGTGGCTGGTGGCTGGTGGTGGGTGTGCTGCAGTACGTGTTCTCCTTCGTGGGTACGCCGCGCGCCGCCGAGGTGATGGGGGGCATCGTCACGCGCTGGAAAACGCTTATGGGGCTCCCCATCGGTACCGCCTCCTCCTCGTCGTCGTCGTCGACGCCGCCGCCGGTGACATCGGTGACGACTGCGTCGTCGCTGCTGGCCGGCCTCTCCTCGGAGCTCGCCCCCACGGAGGACACGCGGCAGCGCGAGGGCGTCGAAGCCCACGAGGAGAGGGAGGCGGAGCACACGGACGACGAGCCGGAGGTGCTGCGGGGCCAGGGCCAGCTCAAGCGCTCCCTCCACGCTCTTGCCGACCGCCACCACCAGGAGTCCGGTACCTACCTGCCTGCCTGCATGCCTGCCTACCTGCCGCCCCGCCAAGGGTTGCCAGGCGGCGCTAACCACCTACCCACCACATGCGGCGGTGCGTGGCGGCGCGTGGTGCTCCGCGGTGGCGCGTGGTGCGTGGAGGCGGCGCAGAGCTGGAGGAACAGTGGCGAGCCTACTTCGAGCTGTACGGGAGCGGGGCCTGCATGATGATCACCCCCGAACTCAAGCACCTGGTCCGCCTCGGCATCCCCAACTCCATGCGCGCCCAACGTACGCACGCTGCGACCTCGACACAACCCCCCCCTCCCCACCCCCCATTTAAAGGGGTGTGCGTGCGGTGGTGCGTGTCGGCTGATTGGGTGGGTGGGTGGTGCGGGCGACAAAGTGTGGCGGCTGTGTTCGGGGTCGGTGTACTACCAGCTGGCGGAGCCCCACCTCTACGAGCGGCTGCTGGCCGACAACGCCGGCGTGGAGTCCAACGCCACCGAAGAGATCGAGCGGGTATCCACTATTTCTTCTTTTTTCTATTTGTTTAGTGTTTTTTTTAAAAAAAAACTCTTCGCCGGAGGTGTGCCGTGGTGTGTGTTGGCGTGCGCGTGTTGTCTAAGCATCGCAATGTCGCGCTCGTCGCGTGTGTGGGTATGTGGGTTGTGGGGCGGGGCGGGCGGGCGGGCGGGCGCAGGATCTGCACCGCAGTCTGCCGGAGCATCCGTTCTTCCGGCGGGCCGAGGGGATCGAGGCGCTGCGGAGGGTGCTCACGGCCTACTCGTGGCACAACCCACACATCGGGTACTGCCAGGGCATGGTACACGCACCCCCCCCCTCCTCCAGCCTCCTCCACCAGCCGCCACCAGCCGCCACCAGTGCTCCCCCCCCTTCCCAAGGCTAACCGATCTGAGCGGTGGGGGGGTTTCTTTCTCTGAAATCAAAGAACATCGTGGCGGCCCAGCTGCTGCTCCACATGGAGGAGGAGGACGCCTTCTACCTCCTCGCCACCATCGCCGAGCAGATCGTGCCCCAGTACTACCACACCGAAATGGTCGGTGCGTGCACCCACTCACACATAGACCCCCCCACCACCACACCACCACCACCACCACCACCACCACCACACCACACCACACCACCACGCCCAAGCACCGCGCACCATCGCCATCCGCCGCCAGCCATCGCCGCCACCCACCCACCCACTGCTGCTCTCTCCGTTGGTCAACGCCAACGGACCGGTTTGTGGTTGGTTGTTGGTTGTTGGTTGGTTGGTTGGTTGGTTGGTTGGTTGGTTGGTTGGTTGCGGTGCCGGTTGGCGTGCGCAGGGAGTCTGGTGGACCAGCAAATTCTGGAGGAGCTCACCAAGTACATGATCCCCTCCTCCTCCTCCCATCCTCCTCCCATCCTCCTCCCGCCGCCGCCGCGTTGATGGTCTGGGCGGACCCCCACCCACCCTTCTCACCTCTCTCGTTTGACCTTGGTCGTGTCGTTGGTCGTGTGCGTGTCGTGTGTTGCGTATCGTGTGCGTGTGCTTGGGGGCGTGCGTATATATATATATATATTTCTATATATATATATATAAAAGGATCTACATGCCGGAAGTGGTGGAGCACCTGGAGCGGGTGCGGATACCGCTGAGCCTGGTCTCCCTCCCGTGGCTCCTTTGCCTCTTCATCGGCGCCCTCCCCGAGTCGGTGCCGTCCCACCTGCCCACCCCAAATCCCCCCGCCCCCCCTCCCGCTTCTTTCATCCTCCCTCCCTCCCCTCCC